TTCTATTTCCGTTGCCATGTCACTTAATTTTGTCAATAATTTTGTACATCTTTCCTTTACACGTTCTAGTAATTTCTTGCACAGTTCATTTTTAGTTATATTATTTTTGGTATCAGTGTTATTATTACAGAAATTATTGAATGTATCATTTTTCGTTTTATCCCAATGCAAACAGTGTTTATTGAGGGTTGATTCACATTTATTTTCGCTATTGAGACTTCCTCTTAATTCATACATAAGTTTCATTTCTTGTTCTTGTGTTTTACGATACGATTTACAGCTCTCCTTCAGTTCTTCGCATTTTCCATTCTTTCCATTATTTCGTACAAGTTTTTCACAGCTCAACATAAACTTATCACAATAAGGCTCCCATAAATCACATGTAGGGCCCTTTACGCTTGCATTATCATTCTTCACTTGATTTAGAACGTCTTCAATATCTATGTTCCTTTCTAATACAGAACATTTAGATTTAATGTCTCTAGTAATGATTTGACAAGTAGTGACTAATTGTATACACGAAAAAATAAATCTTGTTCTCTTTTTTTTAGACCATTTATTACATTTTTCTGAAACTTTTTTTATACATGTATCTAAATTGCCTAAATTTTCTACTTTTTCTTCTAACAAAATTTCCTCTAATTCCTTAGCATTTTCCAAATGATCACATCGCCCTTTCAGTGTAAAACATGGTAAGTCGTTCGTTTTTGAATCATGTCCTAACACTTCACATTTCTCTTTTAGTTTTTTGCAATCTTCTTCATTCGGAAAATCCCTTTTCCAATCCAGATCGTTTCTAAGCCACTTACTTTGTCTTTCGATATCATTTGCAAGTTCCTTACAAGTATCCCATGGGTGTAAACAAAGATTCATTAATACAGGATTATTATTACTAATTATTTTCTTACATAGAGTCCATAGTTCATTTATGCATGTTTTAAGCGAATTATTTGTTAAATTATGCAGTTTTCCTTTTAATGTATCCTGAAATACTTGATACTCTTTTCTGAAAAGCCGTGTTTTTAAACATGTTGATTCTACATTGATGCATGCACTAAACATTTTAATATTCACGCTATTACATGATTTCTTTAAATAAAAACATTTTGATTCTAAATTTATACAAAGCTTTTCATTAAACTCAGTAGATTGCTTGGTCCATCCTATAAGTGTAGCATCTTTATTGTCTTCATTAGTATCTGATAGCGATGAATCATATAATTTTGATTTAAAAAACCTGCATTTAGATTTCAATTCTTCTTCTAAGGTATTACATATTTCTTTGCTTTTATTCATTTTTTCCTTAGTACCGTTATATAAATCCTCTAATTGAGGTAAAAAGCTGCAAAGTTTATGGCAACTTTTAATATTAGTTTCACAACTATTTAAATAATTATTTGATAATAATACTAAAAGATCAATTGTATCTTTTATCCCTGGTTTTCCAACTTCGTCTTTGAATAATTTTTCTTTTCCAACTTTTTCTATTAATATAATTTCTTTTCCTATTGGGTTAAATGGTAAAGAAGAGTGTTTGTATTTTAGTTCTTTTTCACATCTTTTTTTTATTTCTTTACACATATTTTGAATACCATCGCAATCTGATTCATGAAAGTTGCATTCCTCAAATAATGAAGTGCATTCTTCTTTTGATATTTTATTGTTTTCAATAAAAATTTTTGTTTTAAATTCTAAATCACTACACTTTTCCCTAATTAATCTTATGAGATCCTTACATCTATTAAAAGGAATTAAACAAAACTCCATCAATTCATCGCTTTCTCCCATGAATGCAAGACATTTTTTGTCAATTATTTTTTCACACTCTTCTTCAGTCTTCAAATTGCCAGATAAGGCTCTTAAGAGAAATTCTGTTTTTAAATCATCTCGCCTTTTTTCTCTACATGATGTTCTTAAATAATTGCATTCTTCATTAACTTCTATTGGACATGCTTCTTCTATACGCATACATTCTTTTTCATACAAACAATAAGAACTTATGGACGGTTTACTTCGGATACTTTTTAAGCTTTGTTTAAGTATAGTACATTTTCTTGTAATAGTTTTTTTTAAACTATCGCACTTTTCATCTAGTTTTTTTTCTTCGCATAGTTCTTTTAATACACCGAAGGAGCTTTCTAGCATTTGAGTCATATTTCTTAAATTTTCACAGTATTTTCTTAGCCTTGCTTCACATTCAGTATTCATTGCATCTTTTAGAATTAAAGCAAAAATATTTTCTTCACTAGATAAATAATTTGTTAATTTTACAAGTTCTAGTATTATTTAAAGGCTTTTATACGTTATACGGAATAATGGATTTTGTGATGGGTTTTGTGACGAATTTTGTAATAGATTTAAAGATTCTTTATAAGTAGATTCTAGAAAAAGTTAAAAGTCTAAAAAAGTAAAATATAATACCAATGTTTTTCGAGAAAGCATATGCTATGCCAAAAAAGTTGACTAATGCAAATGCTTTCATCTATAATGATAACAAATAATAATTTTTATAAAAAGTACTTCATATTTGACATCGAAAAAATATCTTAGTAAAAAGTATCGATAAACGATAATAATAAAATACAATAAATAGGCAAATATGTACCATTTTGAATTGTACTGTATTGTACTTAGATATTTTGACTCTCGTTGGGTTTTTAATTTTTAATATTAATATGTAAATTCTCACAAAAAAATATTTTTAATAAAGATTTTAAATAACAATTTTATTAATATTTTTTATGATTTTTACTCTCTAATACTCTCTTTATTATTATTCTCTATCTTTTACTTCATTTTTATAGATATAAATATAAATAATATTGTCTTGATTTTTTCTACATTTGTCTTATTTTTTGAATTTAACTTTCCGAGTGCTTCTAAAAAACTTGAAAATATAGTCAAGATTTTCACTTTTTATTTTTTATTTAAAGCTATTTCATAAATTTATTCATTTTTATTTTTTGCTCTTGGTTTTAAAGTTGAAATACAAATTTTAGGTTATTCATGTCATTTTTTGTTTTTTTAAACTTTTTGTTGATTTTTCTTATTCTAGAGTAATTCAAGTTGTAAAAATGCTTTTTAAATAATAATGATTATGACTTTTAAAATTTATTTGTACCTTTATGTTTTAATTTTTGGTTTAGGATTTTTATTTTTTTTATTTCGTATAAGTTTTTTGTACACTTCTAATATTAATAAATTCCAGTATATTATTGTCTTTAAGCTTTTTAATTTTTGTTTTAAATTCTCTTGTTCTTTAACTTTTTTTAAAATTCAAAAAGAATTTTGTATTCATCAACTTTAAAAAATTTAATTCTTTTTAGTTTTTTATGATGTATAAGACATATTTTTTAAAAAAATATTCATAATTTTTTGAATTTATAAATATCTCAAACATTTGTTTTTGTGATCAATTTTTAGTTTATATTTTTTATATTTTTTATAAATCATTCTGTGTTTTATATTTTTGACTTTTTATATAATTAAAATTTTAGATATTATTATAATATAGATTATTCTATAAGTTATTATTTTAAATATCTCTTTTATAAATGTTCTTTTAGGAATGATAACGATTATATAAATATTTATGCATTCATTTGAACTTTTTTTGGAATTAAAAGTATACATTTTAAAATAAGTAAAATTAGAAGTAAAGTATATAATAATAGTTAATTTTAGAATATGTTTTATAGTTTTATTTATGTTTAAATGTCTCTAGAATAGTATGGGGTAAACCAGGAGTAAATATAGATAACGCAAAAACGAATAAAAAATATAATATAAAAAGTATGGTTAGTAAGAAAATGGCTTAATGAAAAATATAAGCTAATTATATAGAGAAAATAGAGTTTTTAAAAAAAATTCAGTCTAAATTGATACTGTTGACATAGAAGAGATTATTTTTAATTTATTTTGTAATCCTTGTTATTTTACTTATCTAAACATACATACTCTCTTTTAAATTCTGCTTATACATTTCTTAAACGTTGATCAAGAAGTGTTTTTTATTTATTAGCGTAAATATAATTTTTTTAATTAGAATTAAAAATAAGTTTTAATTTAAAAATTTTTTACTTAATTTAAAATTCCATTAATTTTGAATCAACATTTTAATCTTAAAAAATAAAAATTCTAAAAAAATAAAAAATGTCTAAAACATATTTTTTCTAATACAACATATTTTATAATACATTTTATGTAAATAATGAGAGCAAGTATAAAAATCTCTAAATATATAATTTGTTTTTAAAGACTTTTTTAAAAACTAATATTGAATAACTGGTTTAATGTAAAAATATTAAAAATAGGATTTCATTTACTATTTATTATTTTTAAAAAAATTATAATTTTTAATTTTAATGTATTTTTATTTTTTATAAACTTTTTTATGAAAAAACTAGCTTATAAAAATAAAATTATTCTTATTATCTTTTTCTAGATTATATTTATGATAAAAACCAATACTCTATATGATTCAATGATGATGCCTTATGATTTGACCCAGTTCCTAATAATTAAATTCTAGTTTTACTGTTTTATTTTCCATAGTTATTTAGCTTTTAATATTGTTTACGTCCTATTAATATATTCGTAAAAAATAATAACTTTTATAACAACATTATTATCAAAACTGAAATCATATTAGATTAAAAAGCAATAATCCAAATTACATTATGTTTAGAAAATACAATTTATGAGTCAAAGATAAAACTGGTTTAATTTTAACATCAAGCCGACTTGCTAAACTTAGAATCTTTAGGTCTACCATAATTTTTGTGACTATTATAACATGCTTTTTCCAGTATTGTACAATTAATAAGATCTTTAAAAATGTTTGATAAGCTGTGACATTCATAAAGATAAGTTGCACATTCTGTTAAAGTAGGAGGTTCTGATACATATAGTAAATCTCTTTTTAAATCCTCGTGCCTTGCTGAAAAATCATGAAATAATCTATCAAGTAAGTTACCTGGGAAAGTTATCGAGACGGGGGGAGGGGGGGTAATAGGGGTAGGGTGCAAACACCATCTAAATAAGACCTCGTTAGTTCCTCCAAGCTCAGCACATATATCTAGAATAGGCTGGTGCAACTTAGAAGTATCAGAGGATTGAGGTAGATGAGATTGATTAAAAATGCTAAAATCAGTGAATGGCATTTTTTCTTTGAGTTTTTTCCAAACATTATTCAAGTGAGATCTTTTTATACCCAGCGTATAACATAGAGCTTTTACATTTTCACATGGACTTTTAATACCAAGACATGCATGTTCAAAATAAGTGCATTCTTCTATTAACATTTGACATTGAGGTGTAGTGATAATGTTTGCAGTGCTGTTCCATAGTATAGTCCAAACACCATTTGCAGAAGCAAGACCTAAATCATCAAATGTTTTGTTTAAATTGACACATGTTTCATTGACCTTTGTATCCAATCTTTCACACTCATCAGTTCGTCTACTTTGACAATATGCATCAAGATTAGGAAATATATGTTGATGACTAATACAATCATATTTAAGAAACTTTTTACATTTTTCCTCTAAACTGGAACCATGTCTTATTAAGGATGTCCCAAATATTATAAGAAGAGTAAGATATGGATTTTTATAAGGTAGTGAAACGCTATTTTCTCTTTCGTTAGAAAAAAATAAAGTCAAATTTACGTTTTCAAATGCCGATCTACATTCTCCTAAAGAAATGTTGTTTATAAACAGCATATCTGGATCAATTTTTTT